ATGTCTCTGATCATGTCACCTAAGCAGGAAGTGCTGACCTCAACCACAGTCCCACCTCTGAGCAGGGAGACACCTTTCCCCTTTATTTCTGTCTTAGCCTCCTCCTCACTAACTCACCCACCCTCAAAGTTGTTATATCAAAAGGAGGAACTCGATTTTCATTGGTTTGTTAACTCTTGGACCCCTGCTTCTTTGGCTAGGACTCAATTCTTACTGGCTCATCTGCTTTGCCTTCCTTGGGGAGACAGAATTTAATGAAACGCAAACACTCATGGGGGCCAGTCCTGCTGAATTGAACAATTTTGGTGCTTTTGTTTTTCTTATCATGGCACTCACGGTCCATAAGCAACTTGATACTTGCTCTTCTTTTCTTGTCTCCCTAGGTAGGATAGCCACAAGCAGAGCTTTAGGACGTCTTCTTTGGGCCGTTTAAAAAGTTGGAGACATGATACCATTTTGGGGGGCATCTTTCATAAGTACTTTGTGACAGACATGGAGAAATACCTTCCTTTGCAGAGCCATGAATTTGAAGTATTAGTTAATGATAGTCTTTACTGTATTTGACTGGGGAAATGATATTTTTACAGCAAAATTTACAAATTTGGGAATTCACGAAGATCTGTTTATAGGTCACTTGCAAATGTCAAGAGTCTCATGAGTCTGGAAATTATGTTTATTTGTCTGTTTTTCCTGTTCAACCTACACTGTCCAATACTGTATCCACTGACTACATGTGACCAGTGAGCACGTAATGCAGCTAGGCTCAATTGCTCTGTCTGTAAGTATAAAATACACACCTGATTTCAGACTTGCTATAAAAACACGAATGCAAAATATATCATTAGTAATTTTTTTATTGATTACATGTTGAAATATTTTCTAGATCTATTGGGTTAAATAAAGTGTATTATTTTTATGTTTACTTTTTTAACATGGCCACTAGATCATTTAAAATTATATGCATAGTCCTGGCTGGTGGGGCTCAGTGGATTGAGTGCTGGCCTGCAAACCAAAACATTTCTGGTTCGAATCCCATTCAGGGCACATGCCTGGGCTGCAAGCCATGTCCCCAGTTGGAGGTGTGAGAGAGGCAACTGATCAACATTATCTCTCACACATTGATAGTTGTCTCCCTCTCTTTGTCTCTCCTTTCCCCTCTTTCTAAAAATAAATAAAATGTTAAAAAATATAAAATTATATATGTAACTCATAGTATATTTCTACTGAACAGAGCTGATCTGGACTATAAGTTTTTTGAGGCCAGGGACAGTGCCTGGCACATATTAATTAGATTGTTAATGCATGTTTGATGAATCAAACTGCTTAACTGAAATGAATGAATGGATGAGAACTGTATTGATTTTTTAAGTAATTGATTTTGATTCAGTGGGTTTAGGAAGTAAGAGAGGAAGATGAGACGATTTTGTAGGAAATATTGGGTTGGCCAAGAAGTTCATTTTTCTGTAAGATGGCTCTTGTAGTGCTTAGTTTAACTTCATTTGAAACAATTTTGTTAGATTATATTGTGACAGCTGTCATATCATTGTACATTTTTTTATCAAAATTGGTTAATTTTTGTATAGCCATTTTATACAACATTTTTGGTATATTATGCTTTATTATTTCAAGGAAGGTGAAAATGCAACTGAAATGCAAAAAATGATTTGCACAGTGTATGGAGAAGGTGCTGTGACTGATAGAACATGTCAAAGTGGTTTGCCAAGTTTCATGCTGAAGGTTTCTCACTGGACCATGCTCCATGGTCAGGTAGACGAGTTGAAGTTGATAGAGATCAAATCGAGACATCAGTTGAGAACAATCAACATTATACCAAGCCAGAGGTAGCTGACATACTCAAAATATCCAAATCAATAAAGGTATTGGTGAAAATGCAAAATGTAACTTATTTTACAGAAATAATCCCATACAGACTTTTTTGTACAACCCAATATTAAAATTGTTTATTAATTGTCCCCGGCATATGAGGTTAGACATGTTTTAAAGGAGATGCAAGTTCTGGCTGCAGCTTCCTTGTCAGGAGACATTCAGATATATCCTGTGGAGTTGACTTGATTTTGCCACCCATGATCCACTTGCTCAAGTTGCATATAATCCAGCAGTTTATTCAAGACAAAATTCATTTCCAGAAAGAATTTTTCCTGTGTGCATTTAGCTGTGGTACTCAGACGGTAATGTGCTTAAGAGTCACTTGCAAAGCCTATGACAAATGCAGGTTCCCAGATGCATTCTCAGAGATTCTAGTTCAGTAGGTAAGGGATGCAGCCCAGGAATCTGCATGTTAACACCCCAGGAGATTCCAGTGAAAGTAGCCTGTAAACAGCACTTTGAGGAACACCATCATATGGCATCATAATCTGGAAATAGATTGGAAGTCTAGGTAGAAGAGGCAGGTTGCTTAGTGATTTTATTATCTATTTAACCACAAAGAAATTGTTAAATATCTTAATGATCAAAAATTTATCAAAAAGTTGCAACAAATAAAATAGTGAACAATTAAAAAACAACTTACTGAATGGGAGAAAATATTTGTAAGATATATATTAAATAAAGGGCTAATATCCAGAATACTCAGAGCTTCTACAATGCAATAACAAGAAAATTACCCAATTAGAAAATAGGCAAAGGACTTTACTAGACATTTCTCCAAAGAAGACATGCCAATGGCCAATAAGCATATGAAAAGACATTCACCTTCACCAATGATCAGGGAAATGTAAATCAAATCCACAATGACATATCACCTCACATCCATTAGGATGACTGCTATTAAAAAAAAGTCCAGAAAATAACAAATGTTGGTGAAGATCTGAAGTCGGAACCCTTGAAGCGCTGTTGGTGGGAATATAAAATGGTGCAGTCACCGTGGGAAAAAAAAGTATGAAGGTTTCTCACAAAATAAAAAATAGAGTTACTATATCTCTATTTCTTAATGTATATATCCTATATTTTAAGAAAATAAAAACAATCTTGAAGAGAGATTTTTACACCCATGTTTATGGCAGCATTGTTCACAAGAGCCAAGATGTGTAAGCAATCCAAATGTCCATCCGTGGATCAATGGATTACAAAAATATGCTACATACATGCAATGGAATATTATTCAACTTTCTTTTTTAGAAGGAAAACTTGTCTTATGTTACAACATGGATGAAACTTGAGGTCATTGTTCTAAGCGAAATAAACCAATTACAAGGCGAATGCTGCATGATTCCACTTACTCCATTCCACATGAAGTATCTAAGATAGTCAAACTCAGAAACAGAAAGTAAAATGGTGGTTGCTAGGGGCTGGGGCAGGAGGAAACGGGATATGGTTCAGTGGGTATAAAGTTTCAGCCATGCAAGGGGAAAGGGTCTGGAGATGTGTTGTACAACAATGTTCAAGTTAACAATACTGTACTATACACTTAATAATTGTTAAGAGAATACATATTATGTTTTTTTCTACCCCCAAAAAATATTAATCAGAAAGTACTAACTATCCTAACAGTTTCTGGTGAAATCAAACTCAAGGCAAGAGTATAATAATTTCATTTCTTTGTACAATATATTTTTATGAGAAATTTTGTTGGAAGTTTTGAGCTAAATAAAGCAAATGTGTTCTTGCTGTGAAGCTGTGTGGGTGGTTCATGGCCTCCCACAATTTACTGAGCAGAGGGCAAGGCTTACTCATCACGAATGTCATTTCCAAAGCAAATGGTCCAAAAACCTGGATGCTCTCCAGGAGGAAGAGAGATGCTGATTACGGGATTCTGTCATTCCAGCGGCATCTGGACGCTCTAAGAAATGCCTGGAATTTCAACACCTCCATTGAGTTCCCTTAACACATTTTTAAAAGCCTGGGAAACTTTAATCATTTTAGGGGTACTAGTTGCCAGGACCCTTTCTAAGGCAAAGGAGACGATTGCAATGATTTGGTTGGAGTAGCCAGAAGCACTCATACACTGAGCATTCACTCTGGCAGCCAGCAGTCTGCGTCTGGCCAGAAGCCATCTCTTTAAGTGGTGAGCTCACCACTCTTTCCAGTAACTGGTAGGGAAGTATGACTGGGCTGGTTGGTTCTTCCCCTCTCTATTGGTTGGCTAGTGGCTTCCATGAATGGGGAAAATGGAGTGAGGGGCATAGACAGCAAGTGACTCCTATATTTATGTATGAGATGAAAAGAAAATGTTAGGCTGATAAAAGCTGAGGTAAACACATTTTCCTCCTTTTTACCCATTCTTGGTATCTCATTTTAGCCAACCAACTCTTCTTTTGTTTTTGCAATGGGCTGGTTCATTTTTTAGAATTACTGAGGATAAAATACTTCAAATCTCTAAAGAGGCATACAGATGCAATGTACTTGCTGCCTAGTATAACAAAGAGAACACTACAGGTACAGTTGAAGTCCCTGCTTACTTCTCTCAAATAATACTCCCCAAACCCCACTGCAGTGGTAACTATTATCTGGCGTTTAATGTTCATCATTCCTAAACAATTCTTTACAACATCACTTTATACCCATATTTTGCTGTGTATAATATACTCCCATGTATAATGCACACCCACATTTTTGTACGTGTTAGGCAAGGAATTATTATACTCATGGTATGTAAACATCATACCCATGTATAATGTGCATCCTTATTTTTGCCTGAAAAATTTGGGCAAAATAGTGTGCATTATAAAAGGCAAAATACAGTAATATCTCTATGATGATATTTAGTATTGGTTTGTATGTTATGATCTCATTTTATGTAGTCTTCTATGACCTTGCTTTTTCTTTGATCCTGTTTGTTCATTTCTTAAATTTCATTTGGGCCCCTCTCCCAGTGTTTCTTAGCTAACCTGTTCTTGACCCCAGGGTACAGCGTTACTGTGTAGTAGTGTTGGGCCCCTGAAATACAACTAGAAATGGCTTAGACTGGAATTTTTATGTGTCAAATTAACATATCATTGTAATATAGAGTGTAACTGTTAAATGTATTTGTTTTATTTCAGGTTATAATATAACATCCTCTCATGCTTTTTTCCTGCCCTTTCTCCCCAAATCATCAACAATAGAAAACGAAGAAAACATGTCAGGACACAAATGGTAAGTAATTTGTTGTCTTTTCTGAGTTGGGAAAGGCTAATGAACAAGGAAAGAACATGGTATATGTTCTGTAAATGTCTATTGAATAGAGAAATCAAGAGTCACATTAACAATGAATAACCTCTTAGTCCCTATCCAATGTTGAGTATAGTCAGGTTCAATATCCCTATATAACTTAATATGAAAACCAAGTAACCAAAAAATATAAGTTCTTATCTAATGAGTATTCTCTAAGAAATTTATTTATATATAACTTTTCTCTTGAGAACCAAATGTTGGCTTTTCCTACTGCCATTTCTTCAACTGTAATGAGTTGTTACATTTTTTTATCACGATTTTATTTACAACTTCTAATATTAAAGTTATAAGGGAATTTTATGTAGGGAAGTGATAAAATAATGAATGAACACAGACTCAGACTCATTAATTTATAGTTATGATTTCAACCTTTATGAACATTAAAGAGCCTAAAGAGCCAATCACTGTTGAAATTAATGATGATGAATAAAATAGACGTGGTGACCACATGGCAATGTTAGCACCGACATTTATGCGCCTATAACACATCTAAGCAACATAGTTAACATCGTAAATTCCAGATCTGTTTCAAGCAGTGGTTCTGAATCCTTTTGAACTCTTGTCCCATTAGGCAAGCAGATCTTTCTCATGTTTTACCACCTTTAATTTGTATCATGAGAAATGTAGCACATATTTTTATTATCAAATGCATAATTTATTATAACAAAGAATATCCTTTTGAATCCCTCCTCTCTCAGTAGAGTTTTAAAAGGTAATTCATAAATGGCTGAGGGATTTCGTTTCCCTGAGCATCCCCATTTGACAGCTTTCTAACTGAGAGTTGTCAGACTGTTTTTTTTAATTATTCCATCTTGCCTCATTAAGTCAGGAGGATGGTTCCATCCCGTGAACCCTCCTAATGGCTGTCATATCATAGCAGCAGGCTCGGGGAAGTAGGTAGTCACTTGGGTAAGACAGACCGGAGAGCCCCAAGAAATGGGCTCTTTTCCAGTCTTTTTCCCACTTATTCTGCCACTTCATTGCTTGCTGCTGAAATACAAGGGCTGCAGGGACCATTCAAGTGAGCCATGGACTGGGATTCAGGGGCCTGGATTTTAATCCTGTGTGACTTTAGACAAGATTCTTAACCTTTTAAAACCTAAGATTCCTCACTTGTTAAATGACTGGGGGTGGAAGCGAGGCATTCATTTTTGCTAGATCCCTAAAGTTCCTTTTGTTTTTTTCAAAATGGAATTATTTTTCTGTTAATCCATGACCTTTGGGGAAAAAAATAAGAAGATACCAATACAGAGAAGTCCGCTCAATTCCCTGAAATTCTGAAATAACCACAGTTTGGGGGATGGGGTATATCCTTCCAGTCTGTTAATGTACAATCTCTATAGAGAGATTATCTTTTACATAATAGTTATAGATATTTTCATCTTATTTTTTTTATTATATAAGCTCTTACTAGAACTTCTAAATAAGCAGAAACCATGAAAGTCCCTCCAATTCTACTACTCTCTTCTAAAGATAACCATTGCAAAGAAAGTCATCTGAAATCCCTGATGACTTTTGGAGAATAAAAATGTGAACTGAAAATTGTAAATGTTATCTGAAAGGAAATGGTCTGTCATCAGGTTTTGAGATACAGGTATATTGATATGGTAGTGTAAAGCAACTCATGGTTTAGGACACGGGTCTGGCACACTTTGAGTGGCAGCAGCTCAGGATGGAATACGACGCGTGTCTATACAGGAGAGGCGCATGGGCCTTGAGGGCAGGGCTCTAGAAGAGAGGAACAGGGGGACAATAAGGGAGGGGATGGAGCATCAACAGCAAACCTCTGTCAGTGTCCGCGGCACTCTGGTCATTTTACACAATTCCATTTCATTCTCAATTTTTTTTCTTATTTCTTCCATACATACTTTTTGATTTGATCTTCACTGTGTTCTTCCTGAAGAACGTAAAGTATTTTAAGCATTTATATTGAAGAAATTCAAGTTTTAATGTCAGAAACCAAAACAGATTTTTTAAATGTTTTTACATTTTATTTGGCTTGGTAAGAAATCTACCGTCTTAACAGCTGTTTAAGTGTACAATGCAGAGTTGTTCACTGTAGGCACTATATCTCCAGAATTTACTCCTCAGGTGTAATTGAAACTTTAAGGCCATCGATGAGCACTCTCCCTTATCCCTCTCACCCCATCCGACCCCTGGCTGCCACCCTTCTACTCTCTGATTCTATGAGTCTATTTTTAGGTACCTCTGTGACAGATTTGAAACAGCTACTTTTCAGCCCCGTATCTCTGCTTTTCTGCCATTGCATCAGGAGTGGAAAGAACACTGGTGTCCGGCTTTCTCTCTGGCGCACAGGTGATGTGAGCCAGTCCCCCCGCCTGGCTTGGCCTCACTTTCTCCACCTCTAAAAGGGGTGTGTCCTACCTGTTGATATCTAAACTCTCTTTAAAGTCGAGTTTCTCGATTTCCTGCAAAAGTTCTTTTATTTCTTCACTAACTTTTAAGGTTTTGGAGTCAGAGTTGATTAACTTTTTGGGTGTAATAACCACAAAAGAAAGTATTTATATGTTGATTAATGTTGGATATGTGTAATATAATGTTTAGATAAGTTTGTTCACACCGAACTATCTCAGTCGTTATGAAAATCATGCATAAAACAGCTCTTTAAATGTTTTTAGCAGCTATCCCTGGGACTTACAGGATCGGTATGCTCAGGATAAGTCAGTTGTGAATAAGATGCAGCAGAAGTACTGGGAAACGAAGCAGGCCTTCATCAAAGCCACTGGGAAGAAGGAAGATGAGCATGTTGTGGCCTCCGACGCAGACCTGGATGCTAAACTGGAGGTGAGCACCTGGTTTCCCTCTGTCCCAGCACAGCGACCTTGCTGGAGTCATGGGCCTACAGCAGACTCACCCGGGCAAGCATAGGTGTGCTTGATATTTGAAATCGATTGTAAACAACCAGTTTCATAAGGAAAATCTAAGATCAGATCAATTCAATCCCATTTTATTTTTTAAAAAACCTACAAATTCTCATGTAACTACCCAGGTGCCACCATTAGTTTTTCGTTTTTTATACTAAGTTGAAATGCATGGCATGTGGTCAGTTCTCAGTAAATGTTGAAAAACATTAATGCAATTAAAGATCTACCACTCATGATAGCAACACTAAGGTCTGGCAAATGTTTACATTTAGGAAAAGAAAAAAGGGTAAGAGCAAAAGATCCTGGAAAGTAGAGCCTGGTAAGCTTGGTGCTTCACCCTGGAAAATTCTAGAATGAGTTACTAAGTAGATATTTAGTTAGACTAGTTAAAAATACAGTAAGCTGAATTTGTAGCTGGTGATCCTGGAATGCCAATATAACTGGTAGAGGGTCCACCAACCCTCTGTCTTCCTGGACGTTCTGCCAATAGTTCAGATTAAAATTTAAAAAGCATACTTCTGAGAATGACATGCCACCGAGAGGAAAAATATGCTTCAGGACCTGAAAAGAATTCAAAGTGATCTCCAGATTTAATATATGAGCTAAATATTTAATGAGACTAAAACAAAAAGCTCAAGATTCCCAAAAGCTTTCCAAGAAGGGTGGCCAGGATGGTGGAAACCATGGTTATACCGTAACAGAGAGAGAGGTTTAAGGGGAGATGGGTTAGTTGTCAATTGTACAGGAAAGGTTTGCCATGTGGAAGAGGAGTAATTCATTCTGTGCATCTGAGGGTAGAACCAGACCCAGGGCCACTATTCATAGTACTCATCTCTCATGAAATTATCTCGTGTTGGTTTGTTTGCCTATCCTTCCTCCCTTAGGAGGTCAAATTCCATGTCGGCCTATTCGCCATTATATCTTCAGCAGTTACACAGCACATGTTACCAAACTATTAACCAAACAAGTGTACATGCTAACACAACTAATATGAGTTCCCAACCATCCCCTTGTCACTAGAACTGTTCAAATAGAAGCTGGTGTTGGGTAGGGACGTTATAATGGAGATTGCTCCAATGAAGAAAAAACCACCCCAACATATCTATTTTGATATTCGTATTCTAAATGCAGTTGAAATGATCCTAAGTTGCTTATGCTTTTCACATCTTACAGCTTTATGTTTCTCTTCTTAACACCCTAGTAAATACAAGCCTCATTCAAAAAGGAATGTGTTAATTATTAGTACATTAAACACATTACAGCAATTTTATATTTATATTTAGACTCTTGCAGCAGCATTTTTACTGAATCAACTCTATTTTAATAAAAACAGTGGCTGTCCTAGACAGAGAACACCCAAAGTACTTAGTTGTGACTAATAATTTTACACATGATAGAGGTTTCTGTTGCAGAAATGTTAACACTGGTGTTGACATTTATAGAGAGACTGGATTCCATCAATCAAACATATGGAAATGGTGTGCAGACCATATTGATATGGTTTTACACTGTTAGCCATTCAGGGCAAGCCTATGAAATAAGAACTTTTATTCTGCGGGCACAGAAAGCTGTGTGCCAAGCGACAATAATGGTCGGATTTCATTACAATCTGTTGGGAAGTTAATGTAGAAATGTTGCCCTGGGTTTAAATATTTGTCCAAATTTCTTGTTAATAAAATAATTTTCTCAAAAATAGCTCATAAATACAAACACAAGCAAAACTAACCTGACAGAAGTCTTTCAGGTGCCACAGCAGAGGAGACTGGCCAGGTGGTGGAAATGTTTCTTATCTTATTTTAGGTGTGGTTACAAGAATGGGTACAGTTGTCAAACTCACAGAACTAACACTGCATAGGTGTGCCTTTTATTGCATTTAATTTATACCTCAGTTTTTAAAAAGTGAGCAGTAACAACAGATCAGAATCCTAAACACACTTTTTTGAATTTCCTTATGTTTGTGGTTTGTGACCCAGAATACTGATATCAAGCATTTGTGAAGGAACAGGTTCAGACTGCTGATTTCCTGTTTTGTTTTATGGTAAATGGGTGGTTGTGTTTTCAGGGGGGTTTTTTGGGTTTGTTTTTTATTTTTGTTTTTCTTTTCTAAGCAGGTAGAGGATGCATGATAGTGAAATGACATTTAGTAAAATGCATACTCATTGTGTCCAAGTTTTATCATAGTAAGCATTCCTGGGAACACTTTTGGTCTGTTACGTACAGATGTAAGCCTCCCTTTATATTAATTTGGTGATATATATTACGAAGCAGATCATCTGTTTTGACTAAAATAGTGAAGTGCTTTCTAACACCAGGACATACTTGCTACATCACCAGGGCCAGTAAGCTCAGCAGGAGAGAAAGGGAGACTTTTGCCCTGGCGCACTGGGTAGCTCTTCAGGGGCAGACTGTTGTCCTCCAGGTTTTCTAATTGTTGCCAGACCTGAGCTCTGAGCGGGAGGAAGAGTTTGAAGTATCTGTTCCATCTTCTCTTGAGATCTCTCCATTTCTGATGCAAGACCAGGTCCACCATGAGTTAAAAGTACAGCCCGCCTGCTTTCCCCTTAATTCCCTCTGTTATGGCTGTAGCATGACATTCCATTTCTTCTCTGTATATTTTATGAAATCACTGGGAAAATAAGGAGTGATGGGGCTGCTAGGTGAACTCCATTTTGCCAGATGTCCTCTAAATAGACAAACATACAGCTGATTGATTTTTGTTTGCTTTTTATGGAGTTGTTTTAGCATGCCATCAAAGACATTCAGATTACAAACTAAGCTAATTTCATGTTTTAAATATGATGCTTAATTGACAGAGTCTCCATTAAAAAAAAGAAGATGGCAAGTGGTAAAAGACATAAATTAGATTATGAATGAATATTGGGTCTCTGGTTTACCAAGTCTTCTAATTGGGCCCTTCACTTAGGATTTCTGTTTTTCAGCTATTATTGCAATTGTCTAGAGGAAATCATTGCTCTGCAGATCTTAATTTAGATCACAGAGATGATGAATTCCAATAAATACAGAATAATAGGAGCATATTAGAAGGCCCTGGTTGCAGTTTATGTGTACTACCCCACATAACATCAAGCATACTTAGGCATGTGATCTTGTTTTTAGTGGGCAAATCAAACACTATGGTTATGTTCAGTGTAATTATTTTTTTAAATTTCATTGCTGTCTTATTTAGCATTTTGTTTGTATTTTTGTTACAGCTGTTTCACTCAATTCAGAGAACCTGTTTGGACTTGTCTAAAGCAATTGTACTCTATCAAAAGAGAATATGTTGTAAGTATACCATAAGTATGAATGTTGATCAGTTAGTAAAAAATAGGATATTTTGTCTTACTGTATCATTGCATATGTTTAGGAAGTAAGACAAAGAAACTACTAGTTACAGGTGTCTGTCTTTGCTCTTTAGGTGGTAGGAAGGAGGATCTTGAATAATTTTATCAGAAATCCTTTACATAGGCCGTTATCTTTTGATGCAAGTACCATAATAAAAGAATTTTGTATTAGGTCTCCCATGAAAGTCATGCTATTTATTTTTCTAATTATAAAAAAGTTTTCTGTTTTTATATCTTGGGATTTTTAAAAAAAAATGTTTAATTGCCTTGGCTCTCTTATAGAAATGTTGCTCTTTATAAAATGGCCAAATGGAGAGAGAAGGCACATGTGGTTAATTCATTGACAACGCTTTAGTGACAATGCTTCCTCAACATTTTTATGTTGGATGTTGGGTTATTAGGAAATGACTTTTCTGTGGTGATCCTGTCTTAAAATCATTACCAACAAAGTTATCTCTGACATGCTAAATATCAAGTTGTATGTTAGTCTGGGTTTGTTTTTTTGTACATGATTTAATAGCATAATTTCTATATTTCTGAGACTAAATGGGAACTTTTTCTGTTTCTGATGGCTGTCAAACCCTTTTCCAATAATCACAAATTAATAATCGGTCACTTTCCTTCATTAGTAATCTTTCATTAAGACTATTTGGGGATAAGTACAAAATCCTAGGACATACAGGCAGAATTCTGTAAATTATCTGTGTTACCATTGACTAAGTGTTTGAGCTAAGACTTTTCCAGGGCTGTACCTCCATAGCCTTGAGCAGTGAGGAAGTCGAGATACACAACCCACACACACCCCTACCGTTTCTCTGCCCACATTCAGTCAGTCTCAATTACAGGTCCATTTCGTCACCTAAATAGCATTCAGGTCTCCTTCCTGTCTTCACCATCACTGCCACTATCCTAGCTCAGGCCGCCACCGTCGCTCTCTCGATGTGCTGCGTCGGCTTCCTGACTGGCTCACTACCTCCTCCCGGCCGTTGTCTCCCCTGCAGACAGAGAGCAATCGGTTCGCTCTCCCGGAGCTTCCAGAGGTCAAAGCTGGGCAATTTGAGCAACAAAATAAATAATGACTGTATTGGACTATAGCCCGTAAAGTAAAACAAATATCCATAAAGTTTATGGGCAAATAGACGAACAAAAAGGAGAAACAGCTTGTTCCTGATAAAATAACTCCAATTAATAAATATAGAAAGAATGAGGGAGCCACAAACTCAGCATGAGGCAAACACCACAGTAAGAATTATGACAGGATGCACTTAAAGATGATATAATTTGTGAATGAAAATTGGAGGAGAAACTGGATGTCGGCATAGTCCTGTGTATCCCCCCGCCAAGATTTTTAATAATTACAAAAGGGGAAAAAATAAAATTTTATGGTAGAGAAACCCAATAGACAGCCCCAGAAGAAGTGATCGACCTGAACATCACCAGTGGTGATGTGCGCAGATGTCTCACAGCCCTGACCTCATGCCCTCCACCTGTGTGTTCGTTCCCTATACATCTGTAACCCCAGTCTAACCTGAGAACTCAGACAAACCCATATTGAGGGAAAGTCTACGCAATACCTGACAAGTACTTTTAAAGGGCATCAAGGTCACGAAAGACAAGAGATAGAGAATTGTCACAGATTGAAGGAGATTAAGGACGCTTGACAGCTCAGTGTAATATGGGATCCTGGACTGGATCCTGGAACAGAAAAATGACATTAATGGGAAAATTCGTAAGATTCAAATAAGGTTGGGGTTCAGTCAGCAGCCTTGTACCTGTGTTCGTTTCCTAGTTGTGATCATCGTGCCAACATTAGGGGAAGCTGACGGAGGGTGTACAGGACTCTGGATTCCATTTAGAGTTTTTCTATAAGCTCAGAATTATTTCAAAATTAAACGTTTTTAAAAATGTACATTGGAACATACTGCTTTTCTGCTGAAAAGCCTCCAGTAGCACTTACAGTAAGACACAAACTTCCATACCATGGCTTAGAAATTCCTACGTGATTGGGCCCAGCTCACTGCTCCAGCCACCTTTGTCCTTACCCACTATGGGACCTGAGGCATTTTACCCTCCCCATTTCCTCTATGTGGAGCGTCCCTGTCCTGGTCGTCTCAAGAATGGCCTCTTCCTGTCATTCAGGGCTCTCCTTCCTGGTCCCCTGCTTAGAGATCCCTTCCATGACCACCAGTCAAAAGCAGCTACTAATTTCTCTTACTCTCTCTGATACTGAATTTGTGATTATGTATTTTCCTTAATTTTCTATCTCCTGCTGCTTGAATGTAAGCTTCATTAGAGCAGGTACCTCGTGCATCTATAAATTAATTCACTCTGTGCTGAGCGAATTAATGCCGCCAAGCTCATTGCTTTTATAGTTCTTTAGTTGCCTTTTTTGGGGCACATCTGAAAATCTAATCAGCAATTAAATATGAATAGGTTTTTATTTGTCGCTGAATTTGTAAGCGCCAGTAAAGTGAAAACTTATAAGTATAAACTTGTAAGTTATCGATTACCTTAGAAGAATTTTAAATGTCTATCAATTAATTTCAGTATTTGAATTTTTAAAATTAATATTAAGAAATGAACATCTTAGAAAATGAGGGCCATCACTAAGTAATCCAGCCTGGAGTCCGACAGAACACTTTTTCCACCACCCTCTGAGCAGTATTACCAGTTAATCAGAGTCTAGCTCTTAAATTGAAACCCGTTTACTCCCCTCCCCCAAGTTCAATCCTCAAGTACACCAAGTGATCAAAAATGATTTTTCAACCTTCTTAGGTTTATTTAGGAAAGAGTATATGTCATGTAATCATTCAGGTTCCATGAATTGGTTTCTTCCCAGCCTTAAGCTGAATGTGTTCTTTTGTACATGACTTGAGGCTTCAAGATAAAAAAGGCAACAGTAACCTCATGCTATTATGAACAAAAATGTGAAATTGTTCTCCACAGGGAAAGATTCATTGTGTGATTAAGGGAGTCTCACATTAGTAAGTGAAGAGAAGAAGGAATGAAAGATAAAAAAAAACACACCAAAACTTCTTATAATTATAAGAACTTTTTAAAGCTTCATAGAACCATGGCATAAATATCAAACGTTTAAAGTGAAACAAAATGCACAGGGATAACAAGGGAAAAATTATAGCTAATTCAGTTTCACAGACATTTACCTGGAGAATCCCTAGGTTGCATGAGGTTCCTGTCCTGAGAAAGCTTAGAGTCTCATGCGAAATTCTCCAATACCAGATGCTCAGAGGACATTGCTGTCATAGAGAAATATGGATCAACTATTTCAAAGAGGAACTAGCTGTGCAGCTGGGCTTTGTCCAATAAACTTGACTTTGACAGAAGTCAAAAAGACAGAAGAGGAAGAATGGTAGTCATTCATTCATGTCTTGGGAAGAATGGATTCATGAAGTCTCTTCTTCTCTAGAATGTGTAGCCACAGTCACAAATTAAAAAGGAAGCAGTAGAGAGTTTAACCTTCACTTTTGGATTTGTGGTTCCTGGCTAACATTCTATAGCCGTTGTTGGAGAATTTGTATCAGGAATGGGGTGCATTCTCAAAGAAGTCTGGATGGTTCATGAAAATGAAAATGAAGAGCTCTAGTAGCATTTAAAAAGTAGCTTTAGCCCTGGCTGATGTTGCTCTGTTGTTAGGATCATCATCACGTGAACCAAAAGGTCACAGGTTCAATTCCCGGTCAGGGCACATACCTAGGTTGCGGGTTTGGTCACTGTGGAAGTGCATGTGAGAGGCAACAATTGATGTGTCTCTCTCACACCGACATTTCTCTCCCCACCTCTCCCTTCCCCTCTCTCTGGAAAAATAAATAAAGATAAAATTTAAAAAGCAGTTTTAGGAACACATGATGTATAAAAAGCAACAATACAGAAATGTAGAATAGTAGCATTCTGAGTAGGTCCATAGCGAATACTGTGTTTAGAGCAAAATGCCACATTCCAGGGAGCTCGGTGTTACCCTGCGCTCGGGCGTTGCGGAGTGTGCATTCAGGGTGAGGGCTGCATCAGAGCCCGCTGCTCACTGTGCGCATGCTCTGTGTTTGATGAAACCATCTCTTCTACAGGGAAAAAAAGGCGTTTTGCTCTTACAAATAAGGATGTTATAATTATCTCTGTATACACCTCTTTGTGCCTATTTTACTGCTTCCTTAGGGTGTACTCCTAACAGAAGTGCAATGTCAAAAGGGACATTTATATTTACTGCCAAATCAATCTGTAGAAAGCTTGAACCAGCCACCGTCTCCAAAAGTGCCATCCAAGAGTGTCTTCAAAAATAAGGACCAATATAAATATCAAATCACTATGTTGTATACCTGAAACTAATATAATGTTGTATGTCAGTTATACATCAATTTTAAAAAAAAAAAAAAAAAGGCCAGGATTAGGCATAACCAATTCAGATTTGGTTCCAACTCTGCATTTAAAAAATTCACCAAGCCATCAATCTACCCACCCTGACTCCTCATCCTCCCCTCACCTCGCACTGACCAAAAACCTAGGTCATGGATAAGGTGTTTGAATTGCTTTATAATCAAGTAGAATGTGACTCAGAAAGCAGAGATCAAAAAAGCCAGCAAGAGAGAAAACCAGAAGGAAGCCAGCCCTCCACTGGAGGCAGCCTCCGCACATTCCCACAGTCGTACTCGACAAACTCAACTTTTTCATTTCAGCTTGAAGCAGCACATTATCGGCTCGCTTTTCAGTGCAGAGGTCATTTTCTGGTTCTAATTACAGGGCACCAAGCGCATGGACAGATGTACTCAAGTGAACTCGATCTCTCGTTTTTTGTAAATGGAAGAACAGGCTGAACGTTAAATGGAGGGGGCAGGGAGCATACCTTGTAGGCTGTCGCTTGGATTTAATTTCACCTCGCCTTTGACTCTAGAAGAGAGAGGACCTTGTGATTTGTCTCTCTCCTCTCTGTGATAAAAATGCTCATTGTTCATGGCTCTTTTTGGTCTTTTCTTCATCAGTCTTGTCCCAAGAAGAAAATGAACTGGGAAAATTTCTCCGAGCCCAAGGCTTCCAAGATAAAACCAGAGCAGGAAAAATGATGCAAGCAACAGGAAAGGCCCTCTGCTTTTCTTCCCAGCAAAGGTGTGTGGCCTTCCTTTGAGTTCTGTTTGGGGCATCTGCTGAGAATGTGGAACCCACTTACTCACGAAGGGGAATTGGCCAGTGTTCTTTAGAAGGCTCTTGCCTGAGACTGATGCGCTATTCTGTTCTCAGTTGTTAGTCTGTTTGTACTTATTTCCTGATTAATATAACAGGTATGCTTTTTTCCCCTCCATATTAAAATTTTTCACATTTCTTCTGGTCTAGAGGGCATTTTATACGCTGATCACTGAGGGCTGTGCAAGACTTATATTTGATCTTGAGCATTTCTCATAGCAATCAGTCTGGTCCTCTTCCAGCAGCTGATCAAAGCCGGAGATCAGATGGAAGGGTTCCTCCTCTGCTCTCAGTGGACCAATTAACTTGAGAGCGGTGTTGTTCAAGATGCTCTGAGCCATTCTGCTCAGACCCTGGACAGCTATATCAGCAGTCCCACCTGGGAGCGTGTTAGAAATGCAGAATCTAGGCCCCATCGCAGAACTGCTGAGTCCCAATCTGCATTTCAACAAGATCCCCAGTTGATTTCGATAACACATTGAAGTTTGAGAAGCTCTGGTGCAGAGAAAATTGTGCTAGATCAGTGACTTCTCTCTTTAACACTCTCGTGCTGCATTTGTACCATCAGTACAGGACAAGTAGGAGCCCCTGCATCTAGCTGTACTTGGGGTCTGAGAAATTGCTACTCCTCTCCCCCTCGTGCACCACTAACTAACAAGCCTCCAAAAGTATCACTCATTAATATGAGGCAGGATTATACCTAAAAAAAAGCCTATAGGTATTTTCCAAAAGTATTCAGGCTACAAAAATTTCAGTTAGGTTGTCCAACAATTTCTTCCCCAGTTAATTTCTCCTTACTGCTTTCTCTCCCTGTGGGCCGAGAGCAGGCCTGTTACACAAGCCTCCCTGTGAAAACCAAGGAGGGTGGGGTAGGAAAGAGACCAATCTCATCAGTTTTCCAGTTGTCCCGCTCCGGGGCGTTTTGGTTCTTCGTAATGACATTTGGACCCTGGCCTTGTGGGCAATGCCAGCTTTCCTAGTTGAATGAAACCATTTCTAATGGTTCTCTACCCCAGTTTTCCAAGAAAAGTTTCTTTATAACCTTTAATTGCACCTTTTAATCTTATTATAACTGTTTTTCTTATTAAAAAAATAATACTCATTCTAGAAAACTTTAAAAACAGAAAAATAGAAAGGACAGAAATCAAAAACAACTAAAGTTTTAATAGAGATGGTCCACTTTTAACCCCTTGACCCTTTCTATTATATATGCTTTCCACAGTTTTACAAGGATATTGATTCTTGAAAAATCTTTCATATATTCTCATATGTTAAGCATATAATTATTACTAATTTCAGTGGGAAAGTCTTATATAAACCCACATGCCAAAATTAACACCCATTTATATGAAAACACTAAATCCCTGGTCACATCCCTACAAAAGCTACCATTACTGATCACACGATTATTTTACAATATGGCTAACCAGTGGTACCCTTTCATACCCTTTCATACTTGTATACCTAATTATATCTCACACAGCACACATTTAGCGCCCTAAATTTATATAATCTAACCTTCGTATACAGATAAAAACAGTAAAAGGAATCAACAAAAACAATGCAAATGATACACGAAAGTATTGCTACTGTAAACTAGCAATCTGTCCTCTATCCATAATTGAATGCAGCGTGGACAACTTTGCAGTTTGGAAAGTGGCCTCCTGCAGGACATCTCTGGTTTCAGGGCACTCAGCTACTCACCAGGCATGGGAACTCCAAACCAGTCCTTCTGCGCGAGAGGAAGGAGGAGGGTTACATACACTCGCATGAAATTAGTTCTCAGACCTTGAATGGGCATATTTTGGGATATGCCAGAATTTGTTTTCAATATAAGCAGCATAGTACCATACACTTTTTGTATAGCATTGCATTATTTAGCAAATTGATTTTTCTGATCAGATAGCACTAACCACCTTTTTATGTCCATATATACATGTATTTTTAACAATTGTAGCATAGTATTCCATCCTCCACATACGCCATAATCCATGCACCAGTGCAGTAGTTCCATCACTTCCACCTTTACCTACTGAAGGATAAGTGTCTTTGGAGTAGACCTTTAGGCACTTTATTAATTATGCCTGTTGGGCAGATCTTCATGAGTAAAAATGCGGGTCAGTCTTTCACTGCAATTAGATGGTTCTGGTTCCTGAGTTTGTCCTTGGCCTGGACTCAGTCCCTGGTATCACAAGTGAAGAACTGTTCACCTTTCTGATTTTATATGCAGCAAGGACAGGGAAAAAAAATGAGGTGCTTATATATACCTTTTTCTTTTCTTCAAGATCTTAAATCTCTATCAGTATGTCATTACATCTTCAAAAGTTTTGGTCCAACTTTACAACCGTCAGAGAAATGGGGAGTATTTTATTCACAAGACTCCTTTCAGCCAGTTTAGGAAAAGTGGCAAAATCTAAAGGAAGAGGAAAAAAAAGAGTCCAGAAGTAAACAGGACCCTTAGGGAGACAGCTGAGGACTCTTTCTCTCTTTCAATAGAAGTCTTCAATTTTATACACCTCCACATCAGCGTTTGTTTTGCTGGGTTCCTTGGCAGTCATTGCTACAACTGCTCATTCAAGTTTGACAAATAGCGAGTATTAAATTTAACCCAGTGGGGTGAAGCACAGGCTTACTTTATGGCACAATATGTCTTTGAAAACAACTTGCAACCCCTGGGTAGGACGATGTGAACAAGCTGTTTTTAAGGAGTGCTGAATATTTAAATACAGTGCTTTATAGACAAAAGGAAAAAAACTAAAGAAAATAGTGAAAGGGTTTTTTTCTAAATTGTTCATTGCCATATCCATATCTTATCATGCTGTGCACATGGGAGGCAGTGCAAACATTGATGCAGCAGCCGAGGGCTGACCTCTGCTTGCTAACGCCATTGCCCCCTCCACCGAGATGTTTGAATTTAAATTGAAATGCAAATATTCATCTTATTTTTATTCTTTAAACCTCTGCCCTGCAACTTCATGCAGGCGACTTTTTTTTTAAGAATGTAATTCACCTGGCATTAGTGTTTGGGGTAGGAAGATGGAAAGAGCAGTATTTTCCCCCCAAAATACTGTTCTTTTCGTCTTTCCATCTTGTCCAAAGTTTGATATGCATCAAGCTTTATTAATATTTTTGCTGAATAAGTGATGGTATGGTATGACCAATATTATAATTATTTTACGCCCCCTTTATTGTATGATGTACTTCCATGTCTGGTATAGTAGGCTTGAGTTTTGTGTTTTCATAGAGGTTCATCTCTGAAAGCGCCTAACACAGTAAACCCTCCGTGCATGCTCTCCTCCCCACTCTGAGGCCTTTTGCTTCTGCATGTGCTTCATCCTCTGACTGTTGGAACAAGCAGCAGATGCCCAGGCCTTTGGAGAGCAATCCACAGTGGCCAGGGCAACCCCCTCCACACACAGGTCGTCCCTCCTCAAAGGGCCAGGCGTAGAGGAGCCGCAGGCAGGGCGTGGCCCAGAGTAGACACGGAAAATGGTTAGTCCTTGGCCTTTCTCCATTCACACAGGATTGGTTCCAGCTTCGGACGAGTACTCTGTGCCCAGGCACGAGGCCACGCCCAACAATACTGATGGAGAGACTTCCCAATAGTACAGTGAAGTAACAGTAACCCAAGCGAGGAGTACGTGGCTCATCATCTCTGGTTGACTCATCAGTTCACATTTCAGTTATACCTTGTCAGACGCTTCCATGGCATTGTCTATGTCCCAGGCATTGTGCTATGCCCATGAGTTTAAGATTGGTAAATTATCGATGATTACAGTCACTAGCCTGCTGAATTTCAAAATTGGGGCTTTATCCTTGGTCTAGGTTGGCCTTGCGAAATCCTTTGTGTCGATTTCACCAAGAGGTGGAGACTTTTCGGCACCGGGCCATCTCAGACACTTGGCTGACGGTGAACCGCATGGAGCAGTGCCGGACAGAATACAGAGGGGCATTGTTGTGGATGAAGGACGTGTCACAGGAGCTTGATCCAGACCTCTACAAGCAAATGGAGAAGTTCAGGAAGGTAGGAGACTTGATGAGGGTGACCAAAAGGGGTACCTGCTGGAAGGTAATGAGGTGTGATTTCAGTCCTTCTACTGAAGAAGACATAACTCAAAAGCACCAAGGATGCAATTAATCATCGCTGGTGTCTTTTTATGTGACAGAATACCAATTAATGTGATCTATAATTCTCTAAGGATAAGAGTGAAGAGACAGCTGGAAATTGCTGGGACTTAGTTACCGCTTCTAATTGAAGTCAGATTTTCATATAATGTGCACTTTTTGTAAGATTGTCATTTTAAATGCTTTTTCATGCATAACTAATCAAGATTAGATCAAATGAAACTGGAAGGTGAGAACAGGCTATTGTGGAAATCTTTTTTCTATTGCTAGTGAATATTAAAATTAATAGAATGATCTCCTTTGTTTTGTGAATTGGTTCAGAAGCTGTAGGGCTTTGTTGTAGGATTTAAATATTGTCCTATTGACTCCATCTGAAATAAATTTCTTCAGAAATTTGTCTGAGGAAAATATATAGCTGAGGAGATAGGTATGCTCCTAAATTTTCCTGAAATAACTAGTGAGCACCAGAGAACACTGTTCCCTTGGTTTTTTTTAATTACCTTGGGTCAGTTTAGCTGTTTGGAGATGTTTTCAAACAAGGATACATCTCATCACTAGATGGCAGTCATGCACTTAGTATTTATGAAGTGCAGAGAAATTTTTGTTGTGTATATAGTCTTGGGTTCTTTGTTTGGTCGACTTAGATATATTTCAGGGTGTGAAATTAAAAAAAATAAAGCAAATGTTAGATTTGATATAATATTGTATCAACTGTCCTTTCAAATAATTCAGTTATACTGCTCAAAATTTCTAGATTTCTTTTTGAGTTCATCATTGCAGAGCTGTGAATGGGAAGCCCCGCTGGTTTGCAGGAGGCTAGATGTATGGGGTGTGTGGGATGTGTTGGATGGGGGATGTGTGGGGGAGGAGAGACCTTCTGTTGCTTAAGAATCAGGTCACCAATTCTTGACTCAAGTATTAGATTCATACAAATTCTTCTAAAAGTCAAGTTGCATTCTTGTTTGTGATTTAGAATCCCTCTCTGTGAAGGAAATCAGAGTCTATTTTATTTCTGATCATAGATGACCTTAACGTGTTAGCAGCGTCTAACTTCTTGGTGAAGCAGGCTTTTGAGCTCATGGGAAATCAGAACTGAAAATTCCCTTTAATAAATTAGCTAGTGAGACTCACTCATTCTATAAAAGAGAAAATCCAAGCCGCAACTTAGTAAATAAAACTTTTCAAGGGTTGATAGCTAGATGTTGATGGGCCCTCCTGACTTTCTTATCAGGCAAGTCATTGGGTTTGCCCTTGACACTTTATTTGGGAGTTGGGGGAGGGTGGGGGATGGAATGGAGGAGTTAAAAAAAGCGGGTGGGGGGAGCTCTCAACATTATCTGTGGGGTGTAGTGCCCGTCACTTCACAACTACTGTATCCTTTAAGCCTCCTAAGAACCAGGACACAGATTTCATTTTATAGGTGAAGAAAATAGTACCTATCTTAAGTGACTAGCCCAGGGTTAGACAGGGAGATGAAAGTCAGAATCCTAGAAAATTATGCATAATTTTTTTCGTAAGAGAGAAAAAGGGAAGTTGAAGAAAATACCTAAAATTAAAAAGGATGTCTTCATAGGAATGCTTTTCCTGTGATTTATTCATTCAACAAACATTTATTGAGCACATTCTATGTGCCAGATAATAAAAGTAAACTTATTCTGGAAGGCTGAAGAATTTCATGTGGAATTGTATTTCTTTTGTTTGTTTGTTTTGTTTTGTTTTAGAAGGTGGTTACTAGCTGTGTAAGGATGAAATAGAAACCAAGCCCTTCGTCATTTGGTTTGAATGTTGAAACATTACCCACTCTTTAGTGTCATCAGTGTGTTGATTTTGGAAAATATGGTTGAAAAAAATTATTTGCCATACAGAAGTAGCTGAAGTGATGCCTTACCCCATCCCCATGTGTGCTGGATTTAATTTAATAGCAGAACATGGTGTACTTAGGATTTAGGGAGAGAATTTTTTTTTTAGATCCTTACTGGAGGATGTGTTTATTGATTTTAGAAAGAGAGAGTAAGGGAGAGAAGGAGAGGGAGAGAGAGAAACATCAATGTGAGAGAGAAACATCGATCAATTGCCTCCCATAGGTGCCCTGACCAGGAATCAAACCCACAGCCTTTGGCTGTATGGGATGATGCTCCAGCCAACTGAGCCATCTGGCCAGGGTGGAAAGAATGTTTTTAAGAAGTCAAATGCAAGTTTGTATATGATGAGGCTGGACTCTCCACGGGGACAGAGACTGCACTGGTTCTCTTTACTGCCATGTCCCCATGGCCAGCTCAGCACCTGTCCCCGTGTGAGGCACTCATACTGATGGCCAGATTCCAGCCATTGAGCTTGAAGTGCCAGAGGCATGTTTCTCCAACCACGAGAGCAGTCCCATCACAGGCAAGTGACCTTAAGACTTTTTTTTTTTAATTGACATGTATGGTTTTGCAGGTAAGAAGTAACATTGTTAATTTGAGGCTTGCTGTTCTCTTTGGAATGAATTTAAATTGTGGAGTTGGCTATTTGCGTGGAGTTCATAACATGCACTTTAACTTTGAGCAAGCTTTTATGTTTTGTCCCAGTTAGGATTCTATGTTAAACAGATCTTTGTTAATCTCTCATGAAAGTGTTAATTCTCAGTCCTCAAGCTGTGGGTGGCTCCTCAGGTGACACTGTGGGGTGGCGAATTTCTGTCTTCCTCTTGCCACTGTCTTGGTTCAACTGATGAATCTTGGGCTAAAGGAGCCTTTTGCTATAATTTCTGTTGAGTCCGCACTTTCTGAGGAGAAACAATTCTAATTCTTACCTCACAGATGGGATCCCTTGATTGCAGTCTTTAGTGTGTGCTCACTCATTCATTCATTCGTCCAACCAATGATATTGAAGTGCCACTGGATGCTGGGCCATGAGTAGGATATAGACATGATCACTGCCTTCCTGTCATGTGTAGTCACTTGCGGATGGAGCAGGCAAGCACAGTGCAGTACAATGAACCATCGTCTGAGGTAGCACGTGCTGCCACCCACAAGGGCTGCCTGGAGGAAGTGGCATGTAAACAAATGTGAAGGGTGAGTGGGAGGGACCTGTGTGGAGTGGGTAGAGACACCAGAGCAGAGCTCTAGGCTGAGGAAGCAACTTGGATGAAAACCTTTAGGCAAAAGCGCTTGCAAATACAAGGACCTGAAAGGTACAGAAGGTACAGTGGGTGTGGGAACGGTGGTGCCCAGACCAGGGGCAGCAAAGGTCAGCAGAGCCAAAGGGACATCTTCCAGAAGGCTGGGGGTGGGGGAGGGGATGGAAGGAAGTTCACGAAGGGGGGCATGATTAAATGTATATTATCGGTAGCTCACTCAGATTTTAATGTGAAGGGCTGGAGCCTTGAGCCCGGGGGCAGTGGGGGCTGGGGGGAGGCTTTTGGATGAATCCAGGCAAGACATGGGCTGCCCGTGGAAGGAGCAGTAGCCCAAGAAACACATGGTTCTGACCTCTCCCAGACTCCATCCCAGCGCCAACTTTAATTGCTGAACTCTTCATTCTTTTTAGATATGAACAGAATAAGTATAAATAAGTAAATAACAAGATCAAGTGTACTTTCACATCCAATCAAGGCTGTTTTCACAGTGTTTTCCAAGTGCTAAGAAACATTTTGAATAACACACAGGAAGACTGACCGAAATGATGAATGAAAAACTTAAAATTAAACGAAGTAAATAATCTGTTTCCATTCTGGTGTCCTTTGATGCCCACGGGCCAATGGCAGAGCCCTGGGCAGCAGCATTAATAAGCATGTAGTAAGTGCCTATATTTGGGGATAGAAATACAAAGAGGTGGGAAAGGTTGATCCCAGCCCTCAAGAAGGACCCTGCTAGTCATCTGTTCCTTGTCAAAATTACCGTGATAAACAAGACACCTGGAGAGTGGCCATATGTAGCTATTCTCCTAAAGACCAAATAATAGGAGCCGGTAGATGCACTGGGACGGGCGGGGCGGCTGCGTGCAGTTGGAAGCCCCTCCTGACAGTGTGACTCACCCCAGCAGGGAAATGGACAGGAGGCTACACCATGAAGTATTTTATGAGCAGTTACAACGTGTGATATATGTGCCCTTTGAAGGCAGAGTGAAAGGGTATAATTTAAAAATAGAAGCCAGCTTCTTGTAGCCGATTACATCAGCTTAAGTTGTGAGCTCACGGCAGAGCTTTCGCAGCCCGATGCCCCTGAGAGAGTCCTCCTGTGGTCAATTAAGTGTCTTGTTTTTCTTGAAAGTCAGAAGTGGGATGGAGGGTAATTATTCTAAATGGAATAAAAGCTGTGTGAGGTGTAAGAAAATAGTTCTGAATCCTCTAAAGAGATAATATGGAAATGTATACGTGGGCATTTGTATGAGCTGGAGGCCTTATGGACAAGGACAAGAAAACTGGCGTTTTAATGAGGGCCATTTATTAAATGGCTAAATGAAACCCTCCAGCATTTGTCTAGTGTTTCATCACCATAATTCAGAAGGGTTTCTAAAAGGTAGGGAATGGGAATGGTGCCCTGGTATTCTCAGGCTTGTAGCTATTTAAAATAGGGTTCGATTTTTGAGAGCTGTTAATTCACCAAAGTCATATTATCAAAGGATATGTTACTGGGAGAAGGTTTTATTAACAAATGGTGGTGGCTTAATAGATATGGGGCCTTATTAGGGTCATCAGTCAGTGGTGTCCCTGTGTCCTGACTGAGGATTCGGGTCTATAGAGTGTGGTCAAGGACTAGTAAACAGCAGCATTGACATTAGAGGGGTTTTTCCTGTGGACAAAGATGGGTTAATTAATTTGACAGTATCATTAATTACTGCTGAAATCGTTGGTCTTTGTCAGAGGTCGGGCTCTTTTAGCAATGGAGGGTAGGTCCCGTGAGAGCTGGAGACGCCAAG